GCTGATGTAAAGCTGAACGAGTGAATACTGTACAGATCTGTGGAGCCAAGACATTCACGAATCATCCCAATTATTAGGGGAGACTGGGGCTGGCTGTCACACTTTATATCTGTATTTCGCAAAATGCTTTTCAGCATTTCCACCATTAGTGGCCAGAACATTTGATACACCTTCTGTGACAACATGCCCCAACAGCAGGACTATAGAGGCCTGTTTCTGCCATGGGATAAAATAAAAATAAAAACAGTAATTGCAACTTTTTCTCTCAAAATAAGATAAAAAGCCCCCCCCCCTCACAGTTCTGAGCTAGATTGCAACATGTAAATTCAGAATTAAGAGGGGGGAAAAAATTAAATTACTAAAAAAATAAGAAAAAAGTCAGAATTTTAAGAACACATTGTGACATCAAATACACAATACAATTCATTGTTACAGGAAAAAAAGTTAAAAAGTAATAAAAATATTGTAACAATAAGTTTTGTTTTGGCCAGCACATATGTGACCCTGGAGCACAAAACCAGTCATAAGGGTCAATTTTTTGAAATTGAGATTTATGCATCATCTGAAAGCTGAATAAATAATCTTTCCATTGATGTATGGTTTGTTAGGATAGGACAATATTTGAAAATCTGGAATCTGAGGGTGCAAAAAAAATCTAAATATTGAGAAAATCATCTTTAAAGTTGTCCAAATGAAGTTCTTACTAGCAATGCATATTACTAATCAAAAATTAAGTTTTGATATATTTACGGTAGGAAATTTACAAAATATCTTCATGGAACATGATCTTTACTTAATATCCTAATGATTTTTGGCATAAAAGAAAAATGTATAATTTTGACCCATACAATGTATTGTTGGCTATTGCTACAAATATACCCCAGCGACTTAAGACTGCTTTTGTGCTCCAGGGACACATATTTTTCAGTAATAAATTGTAACAGTATTGCATAAAATATATTAGTCAAATTATCTGAAATTAAGTCAGCTTTGAAGTTTTTATTATTAAACAAGCAAACAAAAGCAAAATATTGAGCTGTGTAATTTCTAGCGCAGTCTTTCCAAACCAAGCGCTTCTGTTGTCACTGCTTAAATATTAACATTGTAAATTGTGTTTGAAACTGTTTGAGCAAAGCAGGCAGGAGTCTGGCGTGACTGTTTGTGAATAAACCTAGCACTCCCATGATGCTCCTCTTCAGATTGTTCTGGTGAGCGCAGTGAGCGCGTGCGACACCTGTGCTGCTTCTGTCTCTGTTTCACACCATCAGACGGTCAGTGGGATGATCTCTGGATGACCGGATGTCTGCACAAATCAGCCTTTCAGTGAGTGATCTGACGCGGACACCGCAGACGTCATCAGAGGCATTTCATGAGCCGCTCAACTATGCAATATTTCTCAAACTCATTTGTGGTTCTAGAAAGAAAATTCCACTGATTTCCATTGACACTTGATTTGGGCCACTAAATAACCAGCTCACCCAGAAGAAACTAATAGCATCTGTTTCTCAATCAGAAACTACTGACCCCACTTACTGACTCTCCATAGTGTTTACCAGTCCTAAACACAGTGCTTATTGACTAGTAGCACTGCTGATGAGCGCTGGGTTGGTTGAAGTACTGATTAGTCTCTAGTGCTCTGAGCGCTCTGAAATCATCTGCTGTTTGTGTGTGGATCACACAGTGGGTGAAGCAGGGAGATGCTGGTAAGTGGCAGATATTGGTTTTGTGTGTCTGGAGGGAGAGGCAGGAGCTGGTAATTGTGCGGAGATAAGGCTGGTTTATCCTCGTCTCTCTGTGTCCTGAAGCAAAGGTCAGCGCTGCCAAAGCCGTTATAAACTGTGTACGTTTGGCCAAGTTTTACCAAATACAAATGTTCTTGTGCTCAGCTGACTTTTATTCACATTGCATACATTCTGCTCATGTATTGTTCTTTAAGCATTTGGTGTTGATTAGGCGAGATCCTTCAGATTTGCTCCAGTGTTGTTCTCATGGATGAGCTCATGAATGCAGTGAGGCCTTTCCTCCTCTGAGGCTCATGGGAGCATCTATAGATTGAGTTTAACACTCCTCCCTGTGCCGGCCGGTCTGCCAAATGCAGTACCTCATTTTGGACGACTGAGATTCTGCTGCCTTTGCTGCTTTTCTCCGTCCATGAGCTCAGACAGACGAGGAGCTGCTCCGTCGCTCTGTACTTCTAGGTTTACAATCTTTGCTATTCCCTCATGTGTTTCTATCTCAGAATGTGAGCTGTTTCCTCAAACCTCTTCTGAATCGGAATTTCATCATCATGTTCACTTCATCGCTAACAAACGGCACTCCCATGAGCCTCGGTGGTTTTCTGTCATTTTCTCGTCACTTGTGGTGGTTTTTCTGATCGGCCGCAGGTCTGGCTCTCTGGGCTTCATGGATCATATATCTTTAAAGCTCAAAGAGAAAAATATTTACCGTTAACATTAAGTGTAATTGTTTTAATTGACAATTGGAATATTGGAATAGTACATAGTAGAGATGTTTGAACTGAAGTCACTTTCAAACTCATGTGAATCTGCATGGAGAAACCTCTCATCCTCAAACGTGATTCCTGACTCCGTACGGCTCTCTCTGTGCGGATGAACGTGATGAACTCTGCCCACGGACAGCTCTTCAACCTTTGGTCCATTGCACGGAAAGAAACGCTATATAAAGTCCTCCTTGTTCCTCATGCTGACATTACACTTGACCTGAACCCCGTGAGAGGCAATCAAACCTTCAGCTCTTATCCAGAAGCCTTTGATCGTCCGACCTTCATCTGGTCTGGAGTGAACCTCTCTGCTCCATTTCATAAACCTGCAATAAATACACGCTGTTCCCAAATGTCTTCATACTTGCTAAGTGTTTCCACTAGTTGCACAACAGGCTGGTGAAATCTTATTAAAGAAAACATCTATGGAGAATTCACGAACTGCCAAATGTGCAAATGGAAATAAATGATAACAAACACACAGATTATTAGTGTGATCACTGAGTATGTTTTCATGCATAACAACGACATATTTCGGGTTATTAGGCTTAATCGCTGTAAGATGTGGACATATTCACTGTGACACATACAAAACTCCAAACCCAAATCGATGCGTGCGTTCATGCATATAAAGAGGTAAATAAACTTTGGTAACACTCTACTTGAAACCTTTATATGTAATGCATTATAAAAGAATGTAATGCCTTATTTATGATTTCATGAATTGTAACCACAGTTATAACACTTATCTGTTCACTGTTACACATTTAGAAAGTATAATGCATTAAAACATGACGAACAACAGATTTGAGAGGTGTCCACGCTGCGTGTGAGCATATGTGTAAGACTCGTTAGTGAGTGTAACTGTTGAAGCTGAAGCTGGATTTGGTGTCAGTGAGGTTGAACATCCGTCTTATTGCCAGCTTTCTGATTTCACGATCTCCTCATTGGTTTTATTTACCCCAGCTGCATCAAATCATGTGTGCAAACACTTGCACTGGTTGATATGACTCATTAATTCGTTTTTAGACTGTTTTATATCATTACATAAAAAAACTGAACTGGATGTATGAAGCTCACCCAGGTGAATTATCATTAGTGAATGAGCAGAAGCTCTTCGTTGAGCTGTTGTGTGAATGCTAAGATGGCATTTTTTGCTATAGTGTGCCATTAAAGAGCCTGTGGTCCAGCTCTCCAGCACGTTCCTCGCAGCAGATCCATTAGCCGCACTAACCGCTTCCAGATGATGGGCCTGTAACAGAGCGGCTGATTGTTTGTGCTTCTCCTGCGCTCTAATCGAGACCATGTGTACGCTTCAGCTCTGTTCCAGCGTCTGCTAATACCAGCTCAGTTTGGTGTGCTGGGGTTGTTTGGTTAAATGTAAATGATGCTAAAGCGTGATCCGCTGTGGTACAGTAGTTCTGGCAGACGCTGCTGTTTTGGTTTCTCATCTGTGAGGGAAGCAAGCAGATCTTTCTGAAAACAGCAGCCGATTGAAGTGAAGATGCAGGAGCTGCAGGGATGCCTGGAGGGAGTTTACAGCACAGGATAACGTGTGCTAATAAAACTGCAGAACCGCTCGCCGGATCTCAGCTCATAAACAGGAAAATGCATTGTGTGATTATAAAGACTTTTATTTTGCCATGAATTATTAGCAGGACTGAGACTGTAAAGAAATACTAGAGATGGAAAGATGCTTTTATGTTGGTACTTATAATAAAATCTTTTGTTTTGTAAAGCATGCATTGTCTGCGGATGGGATCAGAAAATCTTGTGTGTTGAACTCTGATTGCTCAAGCATATGTTTTCAACACTGATAAAAGGATCATGTGACACTGAAGACTGGAGTAATGATGCTGAAAATACAGCTGCGCATCACAGAAATACATTACAGTTTAACAGAGATTCACAGAGAAACAGCTGTTTTACACTGTAATAATATTTCACTGCTTTTACTGTATTTTTAAATGCAGTCTTGGTGATAAATATATACAAATTATTTTTTAAATGTATACAATTACATGCACACGCACACACACACACATATATATATGTTTATACATTTACATACATGTATATGTTTTTGTTTATATATATACTGTATATATTATATATATATAAACATACACACATAAATGTATTTATATATAATATAATAATATAATATATATTTTTATTTTTTTATACATCTGATTCAGAAAAATAACGTGATTAATAAATAACTGTGAAATTATTCTTCTGTCTGTTGCTTCTCATGTTGAATGCTAAAAGATATTAACACCTTCCATTTTTAATTAGATGTGACTATTAGTATTTTATATTTATAATTACGCATTACATGAGCCTTAGAAATTGGCTTTAAGACAAGCACCACAGCTCAACATATTCACTAACTGTTATTGTTATTTGTGGACATTTTTCCTCTCATCTGTGGGGCTCAGAATGAGCTAGAATGGCTCTGTTTGGACACGTTCATTAACTCTGGTCTCTGTCTGTGCAGAGCGGGCCTCGAGCGCTCAGCTGGACCTCACCGAGCTCATCGGCGTTCCTCTGCCTCCGTCTGTGGCCTTCATCACGGGCTTCGAGGGCTTCCCGGCGTACAACTTCGGCCCGGACGCTAACGTGGGCCGCCTGACGCGCTCCTTCATCCCCGACCCGTTCTACCGCGACTTCTCCATCATCGTGACGGCCAAACCCAGCTCTCGGCGCGGAGGAGTGCTGTTCGCCGTCACAGACGCGCTGCAGAAGATCGTCCATCTGGGAGTGTCTCTGGCGCCGGTGGAGGACGGGTCCCAGCGCGTGGTTCTGTACTACACCGAGCCCGGGGCCGTGCACACGCAGGAGGCGGCTTCCTTCAAGATGGGCGATCTGACGGGCCGCTGGGCGCGCTTCACACTGACCGTACAGGGAGAGGAGGTGAGGCTGTACATGGACTGTGAGGAGCACCATCGCGTGGCCTTCCGCAGGAGTCCAGACCCACTCACCTTCCAGCCCAGCTCCGGCATCTTCATAGGGAACGCCGGGGGAACCAGGCTGGAGCGCTTTGTGGTGAGATAATAATAATAATATTATTTCCATAACATCTTAATTATATGTATTATTCATTAATGTATTTATTTATTAATATTATTATGCATTTTAGTTTTCTTATTAATAATATCATTTTAATAATATCTTAGGTGTGTGTATATATATATATATATATATATGATCATTGGTTAGTAGATGATCAGTGTGTTCTGTTTCTCTTTACATGACTGATTCAGACTGAAATGGAAGAGATAGTTCATATCACTTGTCGCTCAAAGGTCAAGACAGAAGGTCAGGTCACAAGATTTTGCAATGGGGTTTAAATTGGTCGCTTAGAATCGCAGGATCCTCACAATAGCACATTTTGTGTGAGGGTGAAAGATTTCCCAACACAGATTCAAGTTCACCTTGGTCACACAAATTCAGCACATTGACCAACAGAAAGCGGCCTGGTGTGACAGTGTCTTCAGCGTGAGCTGTGCTTCATACAGCGCTACTCTAGTTTTGACTACAGACTATATGCACCTTTTTGGTCCATGAAATGTTGCTACAGTAATGTGACACACCTTTATTGTGTACTGTAGTATCTGGCAGGAACACATTTATCTGGAAGCCTGTTTCTGCCATGGAATTCAAAAATAAAAAAGGTTGCAAGATGTAAACCCGGAATTCAGAGAAACAAGAAAGAAAGTGTGTGTGTGTGCGCGTGTATGTGTGTGTGTGTGTGTGTGTGTGTGTGTGTGTACGTGCGTGCGTGTGTGTGTGCTGAGTCAACATGCAGACTGTTCATCTGACGGTCAGAGTAAATGAGTCTTTGAGAAACACAGCACTTACAGCCACGGTCTAGAGGCCACAAACACAGACCAGAACACTGTAAATACACCATCCATACAGTTCAACTGTTGTTTACAAAAATGACAGAAAATTTAAAATACATATTAGAGATGATTCAGCTGAAATGAAATAAAAATGATATTTTAAACACAAATCTGAGTTATGTTCACTCTTTGGAAAGACTTCATCAGGCTGCACAGTTTGAGAGGCGCTGCTTTGAGTTCTCCCAAAGGTTTTGGATGAAATCCCCTCAACCTTGTGTATGTTGTAAGTGTTAGTGACTCTGGACTGGAACAGGATGAAATATCACTGACTCAGAAACTCCTAATTTTCATACTGATGGAGTTTGTTCTTATCGCTGGAATTGGATTCTCCTGCTTTACGGACACGATCATGGGAACGTTTCCTCCGTTATCCTGTGAGGCTGATTCACATGGATGCAGACAGACGGCAGGGATCAGATGTTCAGATCTGAATGAAGCGTGACTCACGGTTAGCATAGCTGCTAGCTGAGTCAGTCTGGCAGGAAGCACAGGCTAATCAACATGACTAATTGAAACACAGATGCTGCAGGCTGTGAAAAACACCCAGAGAATTCAGCTGCTGCGGATTCCTTCACTTCTTTGGGCTTTAACATTGTTCCTTTTTGGGTCATTTTAAATTACACCATTCTGTAGGTAGACCAGATAAAAATATTAATAATACAATAAAAGGAAAGGAAAGGAAAATAAGTAAAATTGGTATTATTTGACAGTAAATTTGGTTAATGCATTAGGAATCATGACAATCAAATAAATCATGACTATAAAAAATGAAGTATGGAGAATAAAATATGTAAAAAAAAGAATAATAAATAAATAAACCTGAACATTAATGTATTACGTATGTTAATCAATTAAAATAAACTATAATCAATTTATAAATTAACATTAATGTAGATTAATTAATCAGTGCTCTAAATTATTTTATAATTATTTTTATTATTAGTAGTAGTAGTAAATTTTTAGTAGTAGAATTTAAATGAATTAACTTATTATATTATTAAAATGAATAACCTTATTTTAAAGTATTACCCACATTTAATCGATGCACAGTGATAGGGGGCGCTATAGCTTAAGAAAATTAATAGAATTATGCTACGTTTTGATTTGATTGATTATGATTGGGCTTGTTGGTGTCTATCAAAGACTCTCTCCCTCTCTCTCTCTCTCTTAGGGATGGGCGATACCTCTTATTTTATTTGCGATCCGATACCGATATTTTCAAGCCCAGTATTGCCGATACCAATACCGATACCTCTAAACTAAACTGATCTTTTAAATTATTAAAAGAATATAATCAGTACTTATCCTCACTTAATATTAGATTTTAAAGCCATGTTTTTTAACATTTCATAGGCCTTTTTTGTTTACACTGTCAGAAATAAAATATCCTATAATTGTATTTTAGCCCTTTACTGGGGCAGTATCCTCACAGGTGCAACTGTACCCCTAAAAGAGAGCATATTAGTGCCATACCAAATACACAAAATAATGTTCTTTTTAGCAGCATCATATGACCCCTTTAAGTCTCATGCTCACCAAGGCTGCACTTATTTGAAAAAGAAAAAGCTATAGATCTACTTATGCTTCTGATGCTTTTGGGAAACGCAGCTCTATCTGAACAAGCACTGAGCCATGTGTCAGCAGCGAACGCTGTCTGTGATTGATTAGTTCTGTCTTTCAGCATTTAGTGTGTTCTGATGAGCAGGAGAAATGGTTCTAGCCTACACAATTATTCGCTAATATACGTAGAAGCTTTTTTATGCACCGAATTTCTTGATAAATAAATCAAATTAAAGGTTAAAAATGCACTTGAGAATCGATATTTTTATGCAAGGATCGATCCTTTCGATACAACATCAGTATTGATACTTAAGGATCGATCCGCCCATCCCTATGTTGCACAAGAATGTTTGCAGCCACGCCTGTGTTAATCAGGACTTCAGCTCGTTAGAGCTCTGAGAAAACACTGACCTCAGCTTTTACATGCACAGAGGTCAAAGGTCAAGAGCTGATGCTGACCATTCATGATCAGATCAGAACATGAGGAGAACAGACTGATGTGTGTCACCTTCACTCTCCTGATTCTGTGTGTGCGTGTTTGTGTGTGTGTGTGCGTGTTTGTGCGTGTGCGTTTGCGTGCGTGTGTGTGTGTGTGTGTGAGTGTGTGTGCTGTGTGTGTGCTGTGTGTGTGCTGTGTATCACTGATTTACAGCAGCAGTGTTTGAGTTTTACACATTCATCTGATAATCAGTTTCAGGCTATTTAGGACTGAAGAGTGAACATTTACAGAAATCTCTCTCTCTCTCTGCGTGTGTGTCTGTGTGTGTGTGTGTGTGTGTGTGCAGGGCTCGATCCAGCAGCTGCTGTTGACGGCGGATCCCAGCGCTCCGAATGAACAGTGTGAGGAGGACGATCCTTACGTGAGTGTCAGCAGATCCATCTGCAGATTCACATAAACACAAAAGATATACATCACTTTACATCAATAGGTCAAATATAATATAATATGGCACAAAATCAGAAGCTCCTAAAAAAAAAGAGCAATTCTGATAATCAACCTCAGAAGGTCATGTTAAATATATGCATTAATGATGAGATCGCCCATAAAAGTGTTTTTTTAAATTTTTTATATATATATAAAAAAAAAAAAAGGTTAAAATTCAAATTGTATTTACATAAATATATATTTTTTACAATATACTTTTGGCCATTTTTGTATATTTCTGAAAATGTGTTTTAAAAATGTAAATATATTTGTAAAAGCATAATATATTTTGCCCTCCATATACTGACGTGTTTAAAGTCAGCTAGGTTCATGATATGACAGCAGTTTATGCCACTGGTTACCGGTGTGCCTCACTAGTGTGAAGTCAGCAGCAGCTCACTGTCACAGCTGGTGTAAGAGAGTCCTCTGGTGGCCACAGCACGACATCACAGGTGTTTTGCTGTGCTGTGCAACACATTTACTGTAACGCTCTGGTTTTATTCACGGATTTGGTTTCAAATGCTTTACACAGGACTTGTTGTGAAACGTGTTTTATTTGTATGTTTTATGTTTGCCATTTCAGCATTGCTGCTTGTGGGATTGTTTTAGTTTAATGGCATTTTTGGTCCATTCTTGTAGTTTTTAAAGTGAGTTAATTTTCATCATGTGTCTCCAGACAGCACAGACACACAGTCAATCCCTAATGAACATGAGCTAACCACTGACTGCATCATTCCAGGCGTCTGGATACGGCAGCGGTGACAGCATCTACGATGACACGGAGACTCCAGACGAGGTCAAGAAAGTGCTTGAAGAGAGAGAATATACGATGGTGAGTGACACTGTCTAGTGCATCAAACTCATTTATTTCACGGTAAAAAAACCCATTTCCTTTGCTTTTAGGACATTCAACTTCAGATTATGAGTACAACTCCATTCAAACTTATTTTTTTATTTTATAATATTATATATGCTACTATTTATCTGAATAAAAGGCCTAGGTAGCGATTATATCTTGATTCCACGGAGTGATTCTCAGGCTTCATTCCTGTATTGTCTTCGGTTGTCTGGTGTTTAGCCGGAGGATATAGAGTCCGGTCCGATGAGAGCGCCACCTACTGAATCTCCCTCGTTCTTCACTGAGACGGATGATGAGGACCTGGAGGAAGGCTCTGGAGAGGACATCATCATCATCAGTGGTCCGAAAGGTGAACGCATTCACAGAGTCATCTTCAGATCATCCCGTCTGTCTTTAATCCTGTCAGTCTCATCTCTCATTTCAGCAGTCGTCTGTTATTCACATGACATCTTCCTGAGCCCAGAGTTTACGTGACAAGCCTTTATCGATGCTGAGATCATCTGATTTCTGGAGATTTTTCATACGCATTAATTAGATTTCATCATGATATCTGTTTTTCTATCACTGCAGAGCGGATCAGATCAGAAGGAGCTTCACAGGACAGAAATGTGAGTCCATCTCTGTCACAGATTCTGTTCTACTCTCTCAGGTCTTCTCCGCAGCTGACTCTCTTCTGCTTTCTCAGGTCATTACCATGCAGAAAGGAGAGAAAGGAGAGCGAGGTCCACAAGGCCCTCCAGGACCCGCTGCTCCACACACACCAGGAGAGCCAGGGCCCCGGGGCCCGCAGGGGCCACCAGGACAAGACGGCCAGCCTGTAAGTAAACAAGAAGCACACAGCACCTTCAGCAATCACCGTGTGTGTGTGTGTGTGTGTGTGTGTCTGTGTGTGTGTGTTTTCAATAATTTTTTAATAAAAAATATTTAAATATAAAAAAATATATATAATATAGTTAAAAACAGTAATATTGTGAAATAATATTGCATTTTACGATTTATAATAATTTATACTTGTAAGGCAAAACTGAATTTTCTGTCACTTTTGATCAGTTCAATGCATCCTTGTTGAAGTATTAATTTCTAAAAAATAAAAATAAAAAAATAAACAAAAAATTTAACTTAATTCAAGATATATTCTTGGATAATAATCTTCCTATGCACATTTGCTTTCTTAAATAAATGTACTGTATCTTGTTTAAAGGATGTTACTTTACTGGAAAACAGGACAAAAATACTAATTAATTAATTAATTTAATAGTTTGTTTCTTATTTATCTTTCTTTCTTTCTTTCTGTCTGTAATAGTTTAATACTCGCTGTGCAGTGAATGACTCACTATTGCACTATTGCATTATAGCTGTGTAACTCTTTCTCTCACACACACACACACACAATCACACACGTGTCCCAGAGTCCGTCAAATGTTCCACACGCTTAATGAGCTGAACCGGTTTCTGATCATGTCTCAGAGCACAAGAAACAGAAGCATGGTCAGATATTGTGCTGCATTAATGTTGATGTTGTTCTCTTACAGGGTGATCCAGCGAAAGATGGCGCTCCGGTGAGTATCTCCCCTGTTTCTGTGTAGATACTGTGTGTATGATAGAGTCTTGAGCTGTTGAACATTTGCCCAGGGAAAAATAATAATATATATATATATATAGTTTATTTACCACACATTGAACATGTTGTATACCTGATTTGAATACCTTAATTTAAATACACTATTTAAAGTTTAAATAACTGATTTCAAGCATCACATCCTATTTACAGTAAAAAAACACAAACCTAAACATCAAAAAATGGAAAAGGAATAAGAAACAACTGTAATAATATTTCACTGTTTTTACTGTATTTTCGATCAAATAAACGCAGCCTCATTGAGCAGAAGAGACTTCTTTCAAAAACATTGTAAAAACTTAAGTATGTATTGACTTTTTTTGTTTTGTTTTTATAAAGTTATGATTGATATATAGCCTTTGTGAAAGCTTTGCTTTTCGATGTGAAGTGAAACAGCTACAGATTTTTTTCTAGCAGCCTCAGGATGTGGAAATATAAATGTAAATGCTTGAGAAATGTACACTTTATGTCTCATGAACTGGCTCTGACCAAACCAACTCTAAACTCAAACTGAACATCAAGCCTTTAATGCAGCACGCTATCTCTGTATTTCCAGCAGCAGTGTGTACTCACGTCTCCGCTGGACGCTTCGCTCACATGTGTGCAGCAGAGCCCAGGAATACACGCTAATGTTTTAGTAACTGGAATCCATGCCTCATTATTACTGAGTCACGGCCAGTGAACTGTTGCTCAGTCTGTCAGCGGTCAGAGAACGTGAGCAGCTGTAGGACTGATTAAACCAGCGGCCCGCGGTCGTGACCGCACTGTCCTTCTGTCAGATCTGTGCGAGAGAGTGTGCCTTCAACAGCACTGCCTTATTCTGGACAAAACTAACATGAACACATTTGTTTTCCTCTCTTTCTGTCACGTACAGGGAGAGGCTGGACCTCCGGGATTCCCGGGCCTTCCTGGAGATCCGGGTCCCAAAGGTGACAAGGTATGACACACACTGGCTGATTATATTTTATAATAGCATGCCTAACAAACCTATAGAGTCTGTCAGTCAGGTTTCAGAAGTGAAATCTCCATTCATTTTCTCCATAGGGAAACTGTTTTTTTAACTATAACTTATAAACGGTTAAAGACAGACTTGTTATGAGTTCCAAGGTTGTTAATTGATGGCATATGCTTTAGTTGAAGCCATTAGACCACGTTATTTTAACTTATTTAAAATAATCATGTTTAATTTGAGGAATTTGCAGTGAAGACTACATTACCCATGGTGCAGAAAATTCCACCAATCAGAGAGTCGCGGCTCTTTAGCTCCGCCCACTGTCATGAGTCATGGCAAATGAGTCTTCCTATGCTCTCAAAATACTGAAATATTTGTATATATGTATGCAAATTTTGCAACAAACTTAAAATATATTAATTGTTTTTTGTAGAATATAATCAACAGCTTTAAATGCATAGTTTTATATTTCTCCATCATTTTTAATTCGATCAATGTCATTCGCAATGCTTCATGGGATTGTAGTTCTTCCTTCAATTAACCATTAATGTCGCAGTCGTGTGTCTTTTTGTCTCATGTTGTGATTCTGCTTCTTATCAGAGTCTGTAATGCTGTGATTCTCCTCGTAGCTGGTTGGTTTGGTTCATGGATTATAACGCTTTAACAAAGACTTTTAAAAATCCCTATGGGAAAAATGAATGGGAAAAGACTTGAACCAGTGCTGCTAACATGATGAATTGGGGCCAATCATAGCAAACGATCCACGGTTTCCTGGCTTATGCTTTGATAGGGTGATCCTGGTGTGGGCATCCCGGGGCCGCCTGGACCTCCCGGACCGCCAGGGACATTCAAGTATCCGGTGTGTACCATAATATGTTATTATGTACAGATTTATATAATCATGTCCATCATAATAGCAGATGGCCTGGCTGTAAACTCACTGAGCGTTTCCCACGAGCAGGACGGCATCGACGGCTCCGGATCAAGCGATCTGGATTTGGACAGCGACACAGAGCTGATACGGGTGAGTTATTACAGTCTGTTCAAATGAAGAGAGCTCTGGGTGCAAATAATCAAAGGAACTCTGAGACACTTAAATGATTTAACGCTGTTAAAATGAGACATGAGGTAGTCATGTGTAAGATGTACGGATATGAGTTGTCAGACAAAGAATTTGGTACTCAGATTAATTGTTAGTGTTTTCGGCTCCCACCAGGGTCCTCCAGGGCCGCCGGGGCCACCGGGCCGTCCAGGACCTCCGGGCCCTTCTGTCGGAGCTCAGCCGGGGCCGATCGGGCCTCCAGGAGCTCCTGGAAAAGACGGGGAGACGGGGAAGCCTGGACTCCCGGTGAGTGAGGATCAGATCAGACTGAGCTAACGTTCATCCTAAAATTAAAAGTTATTATTTGCTCACCCTCATTCCTCATGAGTGAACAGATTTTCTTTTCCTGTGGAGTAATGCATGGAGAAAATGAAGCCATACAATAATAGAATTTTGAGTCTTAAAGGGTATCGTACAAATAAATACACGCTACCATTTTTTAATACAAATATTTAATAATTAATACATTTATTCATAACTGAATCAAAAGTGACAGTAAAGGCATTTATAATGTTACAGCAGATTTCTATTTCAAATAAATGCTGTTCTTTTGAACTTTCTGTTCATCTGTGAATCCTGAAAAATACAATGCATCACAGTTTCCACAAAAATATTGTGCAGCACAACTGTTTTCAACATTGATAATAATCAGAAATGTTTCTTGAGCAGCAAATCAGCATATTAGAATGATTTCTGAAGATCATGGTGATGCCGGAGGTTGAGCTTTGATGACGTGTGTGTGTGTAAGAACACGAGGGACAGTCAGTGAAGACAGCACTTTTATTTTGGCTGAGCTCTTCATCTCAGCAGGTGTTAATAGACTGAGCAGAGGCTTTATTCCGGAGGTGCTGCGGGTGATTGAGGACTGGTTCAGTGGGGCTGGATTTGAGCTGGACTCAAGATGCTAAACTCAAACCACGGGCCAAAGGCAGTCGTTTCTCCCATCAGAAATCTCATTCTGCTTTCATCACACCCGTCAGAATCAAGTGTTAGTGTGAGGAAGGGTCATGTGGAAACCTGTCTTCTTGTCAGCAGTTTGATCAAATACATGCAGTAGTTTTTAGCATGGCCCTATACTTCACTCTACTGTAGAAGCTTGTTTCCAACATGGGATAAAAAAATAAAAAATAATCAATTGATTTTTTATTTTACAATTCTGACCTTTTTTTGCAATGAAAAATGGCAGAATAGCAAGAAAAAAGTCAGAATTGAGATATAACATCTGGCAATTCTGAGTTTATATCTTTTTTTTTTTTTAAGTTTTGAGTTTAATCTGTCTCGCAAATCTGTTTTTTTTTTTCTTCTGCAAATGGAATAAAAAAAAACTTTTAAAATG